AAAGTTTGTAAAATAATTTTTAAAGATTTAAAAATAATATAACTAATATTTATGGAAGGCTCACTAAATGTAGGATGACAATAAAATGCATTCTCCAAACGGGGACACTATGGAGGGTGTAAGAAGGTGCTACTGCAAATTGTTACGTTAGGACAACTGGTACAAGCCAAAACTTCCTCAGCCCACTGGATCATATGGTCCCCAATCTGGGGCCAGATATTGTGCTAAATTGGTTTAACCTGCTTAATCCCCATAATAATTCTACAAGATTGTTATTGTTATTCCCATTTAGTAGCTGAGGAAACTGAGACTAAGATGGGTGAAGCTGACTCCAGTCCAAAGCCTCACCCCTCATAATTGGAATCTGAACCCAAGGCATGTTCCAGAAGGACCTGTAATCCCTTACTCTAAAACCTTCTTCCAGGTATGACAAACACACACCTCTAATTAATTTGCCTTGATTGGGGGAAGGAGACTGTTACCAAACATAGTCATCTACAAAAAGTAATCTTAGAAGTGTGTCAGAGAGTTCAAACATCAAAAAAAAAAAAAAAAAAAAAAAAAGGATAACTCTTTAAACCTGTTTATATGGATACCAGATGTTAATATCTTTTTTTTTTTTTCACTAGTCCTTTGAAAATTCGGACAAAAGGATTAACACAAGCCACAGGAAAAGCGAGTTTTTAAACTTGTATTGAATATCCATATATGTCAGGAAAAAAATACATTGTGCTTTTTTTGATGTTTTATGATATATATATTTTAGACTCAAATATATTATGTGTTGAATGGGGTGGTTAGGATGGGTAATTTGATCATTTTACTGGTATCAAAGCATGGATTGCTTATTCTGGAATCTGTCATGTGTGTTCCACTTCCCCCTCCTTCTCTACTACTCCCTCCACCTTCCTCTCAGAGTTAAGCTACCCTTTATTTTGGACAACACTATCACACACATGATTGAGTCAACAATTTATGGCTTTTAAAAATAGGGATTTTGTCCTCTCTTAGGTTTATTGTTTATCATAATCATCTTTCAAGTGAAAAGGCTAATTTACTCTTTCTATAGGAATATTTTAAGCTTGATTATCATAATATTACAGCTGCCTGAAAAGGTCTAAAACGGGACATTGACCTTGAATGTTTTCTGCATTTAGCTCATGGTGCTTAACATTCAGGAAGGAATATAACTGCAACTCGTTTATTAATGTATAATCTCAAAACGTTAACTATTGCTCTGTAAATACATGCTATGCAGATTATAGAAAGCTTGTAGGATACTATGAAATGCATTTGGTATCTTACCAGGGCAAGTATAATGGAAATACAACCTAACTAAAGTCAGTTTTCCCATTGGAGCTACTGTAGTTTATAATTTAATTTTTACTGACATTTCACCATGTGTATTATTAGTTTGACAAAATGAAAATGAAATAATCCTGAATTAATTAAACGGAAACTGAATTGCCTCTATTAGTTTTTCTGTCTTTCTCTGATTCTTTTTCCCTCCCTCTTCAGCTTTCAGAAACACAGTGGGAAAGAGTTTAGTGTGTTATGGAGGTGAGATAGTTGCTCCCCAGAGAATGGGCTTTTTTTATATATAGACTCCATAATTTGGGAATGGGATGGATTTATAGGACAAGAGGTTTGTCAAAAGGAAAGGTTTTTATTGGTGCTTCTGTGGAAGCGATCACTTTCAGTAGAAATGATTGCTTCTTGCCAATCGAGACAATAATTTAAATATCAAAGCCTGTGCCCTAGAAATGAAAGGCAACAGGAAATGAGGAATGATGAATTGATAGAGGGCTGGTGGTAATATAGTGTAAAGTAGTCATCCTGACTTCGAAAGAAGTCTGCATGTTCTCAGTGGGAAAGGTGTGTTCTTAAGCAGGTTTATAGCACAAAGGAAATCCCAATTCTCAGATGAGGAAATGAGGGACAGATAAGTGAGGTGACCTGCCCATAGCCACACAGCTCATGAGGAGTACAAAGGAGCCTGGTGCTTTGCTTGTCATTTTAGGTTCTTTTCCCAAGGTTTTCTTTTGGAGTTAAAGATAGTAGTTAGTAATTGTCTTGGTTTGCTTTTTGTAGGATGGTATATTATACTATATATGATACATTTAAAACAGCAGGGAAAATAGTTCAAAAAGTTAAACAGCTTTTCAAAGATTTTATACTCCTGAGGAAAGATTACAAGGCAATTTGAAAATCTAAATTTGTTATGCCTTGTTTAGTTTTACATATTTAACAAATGATGAATGCGTAATATAAAAAAAAAAACTTGCTTCAAAAATGACAGTGATAAACTTGAACATTTTAAAGCAGGTTAGTCCTGTTAATTTTCAGAAAAGAAAGGTAGGAGCTAAATATAGCTGTTAATATGCAATAACAGCAAGCATTTCTCATCACCTTCTAGCAACATAAGAATTCCTAGTTAGAATGTTGCAGGAAATGATTCTGACTTAAATGTAGTAAAATGTCTGGTGCATACGACTATAGGAATCTTCCTGTTGTTTCCACTTGAGTTTTGCTTGTTTTCATTCTGTGCTTTGAAATAGAAATGAAGTATATTCTCTGCTTGGTGACTACATTAGTTGGGACTGAAAATGAATTTATTTGGATATTTATGACTGCATTATTTCAGGAAGAAGAGATTGAAACTATGTATACACTAAGAGTCTGATGCATAATAGACTGATATTAACTAATTTATTAATATTCTTTGTAGAACAATCGTGAGAGATCCTTTTGTTTGGTTCAGTTTTTCTTGATTTGGGTAGACTCCTTGTGGTAAGATTGTGAAGTGTATAGACTGGAAATATATGTGTATCCTAGGCTGTTTATCTGTTTGTTTTTTTTCCAGATTTTTTGTAATTGAGATTCTTGAAGGTTTAAGTTCAGTATTACTCATGGTGCATTTATTTCCCATGATTATCCATTGTTTTCTCCTTCAAGGTGAGAAAAATCTGGGACCAGGGAAGTTTCTTGAGATGACTGAGCTGTGTATTTGTAAAAGGTTCTGGAAGCTGTCTCACAAGTTTAGTGAAGAGGATTTTTTTTAAAAAAATTTAAATTGGTTAAATTGGATTCAAGACAGTAAGTATAGTCTTTAGGTCCTTGAATTGTACAGGTGATACTTTGATCCCAAGGGGAAAACATCCAACTCTACAAACCTGGTACATGTCTGATCACTCAGAAAGCAGTGAGCTCAGTGAACACTGCACCTTGCGTAGATGAAATATGGTTAGTGAAAAATCAGTGGGGATGATACTGTGTATGTTTGTACATGTATCTCTGTGAGCACAGCAAAAAGACTTACACATAAGTATGAGTCTAAATATCTTTAAAAATATACACCAGTGAAGTCAAATGGATCATAATGAGGGCAAATAAGTACCCAAAGGGAAATAAGAAAATTATGGGAAATCAAAGATCACTTGTACGAAATTTGGTGACTTGAGGTCCACTGGTAAATACACTACAAATCTTGTCTTTAAAAAGCCATTTCAAAGGAGTAATAAACAGGTTCTGTCACAGCATGATAATGCAAAGAAACTGAACACAGTACAGGATTCTGCACAGGTGCAAAATCGGAGTGCGTTCTTTGAGTACATTCAGATGCATTGAGTACATTAAATAATTTATATTTTTTACAGAAATATCCATAGTCAAACCAGGAAGGAAAGTTTCTGTTTTTTTTTTTTTTGGTATATCTTTTTTAAAGTATGTACAATTGAATCTATTAATTACCCTGAGAATTTTAGTTTATTCAGAAATCAAGATAGTAACCATATGAATCAAAGGATGTTTTTCTGTCTTCGTAATGCAGTATTAGCTTCCATATTTCTTTGAGTGTATCTTAGAAAAATCTTCTTTCTTTTGCAAAATGCCTGTTTTATTTATTTTTTTAATTGTAAAATGATTACATGTCTTATTTGAGATTGAATAGACAATTTTTTTCTCTCTCAGTGTCTGCAGAATGCTTGGATTTTCTTCTACATCTCAAAGCTCTTTTAATTCACTGCTCACAACCAAATTTACATCTTAATTGCAGAGTTCACATTTAACAATATAGACAGCATAATGCTACTGGTAATTAAGCTTTTACTACCTGCTTTTATACAGTATTCTGAGGCACCGTTTTTGCTATGTGAGTTCTGATCTAGAAACTTTGTATGCATTTAGAACACAAATAAAAGTAATCAGGCCTATATCTTAGATATAGCTAAATACAAGGGAGTGAAATTGCTTTCTTCTGTGGGGGGACCAAATCATGTCTGTCATTTTTATATTCTGAATTTTAATGTGGCTGCTCTATTTTAGTGTTTTGTTTTTTTTAAGACCTAGAAAATTTGAGAGGGTTGAGGGAGTTGAGTCCTAATTTAGTGAATTTAACACACGATGAATATCTGAACTAATTTATTTTGATCTCAAAGATTATCCTATTTCTATCATGTAGGACTTAAGACATAAAAGGTTGATAAGCAGTAGAGCTGAATTATATCAAAATTGTGGGTTTTTCACTCTCCATAAGGTAGCAGTTATCTCTTCGCCATAAATAGCTGGTATCTATTCCAATGTACATTTGCTAGTATAAAAAAATCCTGTAGATTAAAATAGGACCTAAGCAAACTCTTTGTTATATGGAAATTAAAGACACGGTATACACAATTAAAGGAGGAAAAAACACACTTGTCCTCTTATATCCTCCTTTTATTTATTTATTTTTTGAACACTTTTGATTGAGAATTCTTAGTTTTGTAAATTATTATCTGTTTGAAACTAGTTCTTATAGTGACCAGACTGTGTGATGGTTTATAAAATGTTTCTGGGTTTATTTTTTTAAAGCATATAGGGTGCCTTATGTATAGAAACAAATATGTACACGGTGTTTTATTTGAAAGCAGGATGTTTTGGGTAAAATCATATATATAATTATATGCCTCCTAGTTTGGAAGCTTGTACTGAAATATATACAAATAATTAAGAATACTTTTAGTGCACTGTTTAGTAATGCTCTCCCTACAAAAAAAAAAAAAAAATGCTCTCTTTATTTTGTCAAAATGCATTGAGAGAGATTTAATTCGCTATTTACCCCCACAACCCTCAGTCTCCCCACCCCTAAAACTGAAGAAGCCAATTTGTCCTGCGGTTGTTTACCTTTGTTTTGAAAAGCTATGCGTTGTATCTACACGTAAAGAGACAGTCGCAGGTATAGAAAGGTTTACACATATAATTTACTTAGGCATTCTCTCAAATTGTATTGTCACTGTTTCCTCTTCTGTAGTTGTGTAAAACTGCATTCCACCTCAGAGATGACGATCCCAGTTCACATGCTCAAACAATTTAGAAGAATGTCTTTATTATTATTATTTTTAATGCCCAGCATACATCAGGAAAACAGGAAAAGACATGATTAGGAATACATGAGAAAGTACAGCACCAAATAAACAGCAGCCCCCGGTGTAATCAAAACACAGACAACGGCAGGACAAACTTAATTCTCTACCTTCCGCAGAATCCTTTCCCAAATTAACTGAGAGTCTGCGTGAGTTCTCCTTTTCAAGGCAAAAGAGATCTTAGGTTAGAAATCAAAGGCAAATCCCTCCAGTGCTTAGAGAGTTAAGTTAGTTATGTTTCTTTTGTAGCTTCCCAGAAGAAAAAAAAAAAGAGAGAGAGAGAGAGAAGGGAGGAAAAAAAAAAAATCAAACCCGAGAGTGTGTATTGGGAGCGTTTCAACCGCTCCCTTCTCCGCTCCCTTTTTCTCTGCCCACTCTCAGTTTCCAGCCCCCTTCGGCTCTCTGCACCCTGCCTACCTGCCTGGCTCCTCTCGCTCCGTGCAGCCTCCCGTCGCCTCCCTCCTGATTGGGCAGAGGCCCCCCAATCGGCTGCGCGGCTGGGCCGGTGGGACTGCATATGTAAAGCCCTACTTCATATTAATAAGCTCCAATCGGGGCTTTAAGTCCTTGATTAGGAGAGTGTGAGAGCTTTGGTCCCAACTGGCTGTGCCTATAGGCTTGTCACTAGGAGAACATTTGTGTTAATTGCACTGTGCTCTGTCAAGGAAACTTTGATTTATAGCTGGGGTGCACAAATAATGGTTGCCGGTCGCACATGGATTCGGTAGAACTTTGCCTTCCTGAATCTTTTCCCCTGCACTACGAGGAAGAGTAGGTACCTTTTTTCTTTCCTTTTTAAACTCGTCGTGGGGGTGCGGGGGTGGGGGCGGACAGACTGTATCTTTACACACTGATTCAGGTAATGCCCTGGGTATTTTGTGTGCACGAGTGCTTGTTTGTGTCTGTCTGTGTCTTTTGTGTTGAGGGTGATCTCCTAATTCAGTAAGTCGAGAATTGTTCTCTGACTACAATGTTACCTTTGAGGCAAAGCTCAGTGACTGTCAGTAAAACAGCTGTGTGACAGTCACTTCTTATTCAGGTGCTAAGAATAGGCACTTGGCACAAATGCTTAGTGAACTGTTAAAATGCATCTTTTACTAGGACCCATTTTCCCAAGGAAAGATGTTTTAAAATACAATATTCAAAATGATTTATACTATTGAGTGCCTCTTATGTATTTGCAGTTTGACAGATATTTTCAGCTCCTTGTCATTTCTTACCGCGCAGAGTTAGAGGCAAAATTGCACATTTACTAATTCTCCTTCAGAGAACAATTTAAAAACTAGCCCTATGCAATTCTGAGCTAGAATAATGTTATTTGCATGGTTAGCGTTAAGTCAGCACTTAACTGACAAATCAGTCCATTAGGTAACATGAGATTTTCACACATTATAAATATTTAAGGGGGGGAAAAAAAACTAAAGAAGAAACAGTAGTGACTTAAAAATTTTCCTCTTAAATAAACTCTGTTCAGAGTGTGGATTTGTCTCATTTATTGTGTCCAGAAAATATAGAAAAGTACTTTCGTTCTTACATGCAGTTTAATTAGTATTTATGAATATCTTTATGCACATGGAAATATATATTTAGATTACTAAAGGAGGGGAGTGCGTAGGGGGTACGAGAAGTAAATTAGGCATTTTTGTGTAAATGAGTAGGTCATAAACTTAATTTCAACCTACTGTTAAGATAAAATATTAGTATATCACCAGAGCTGTCACTGGTTTATCTCCCTTTCTGTTGAGTCAGTTATATTGCTTTGCTTTCACATTACAGTAATACCAACTGTTATAATTCTGAAAAGAGTGCCCTTGGCAAACATTTTTCTCTATAGATTGTGAAGAAAATATCAAACTCTAGAAGATGAGGTAGTGCATTATAGGTAGATGTCCACTAGCTGTCCTTAGTGACTGCATATTGCATTGCTTTGTAATTAAGAGATGAAAAGTGACTTGCAGTCTCAGTGGCTGCTCCTGTATGTTTGAGCGTGAGTGTGAGTGTGTGTGTATATGCACGCTCACACATGCACATCCACCCACGTCCACGCTCACACAGGGAATATTAGCCAAGAGATGGATTTAGGAGGAACTGAAAGATTATAAGGCTGTGCTTGCATCAGTTTGAAACACTCAAGGGAAGAAACAACTTTAAGATGTGTAAAAATAAAAATGAAAAATAAACAAAGGTAGGACTGCCCACTCAAGTGTAGTTTGAAGGTTAGTGTACTTCGGGCTGTAGAATTGGAGAGTTTAAGATGTCCTCGTGTCAGGAAGAATGTCTTATCCAAGCACGCCCAGATTCTGAACTTTGTCTTGTAAATAAATAAAGAAAACAAACTTTTAAAATCCCCCAGAGCCTTCTTTTTGAAGTAGTTTCCTTGAATTTAACTTCTTATAGCTAATTTGAATAATTCGTTTAGATAAGCCTCTTAAAGCAGATGCATTTAAATGAAATCAAGGCACATGTCCTTTTGGCTTTGGCGCAAGATTCAAACTAGCTTTCTTTTGGGCTCAATTAAAAGTCATCTTTAAAAAATACAGATTTATTGTCTGCCTGCAGTTCTGATGGTTACGTGGTTCACTGGACAGACAGAAAGATCTAACGCTAAGCAACGCATCTGCCTCTCTGTCTCAATTAATAAACCACAGAATTTATACATGCTATTAATATTCATAGTAATTGTACTGGGTTAAACCCCATCACGTGTGTGTATACACAGAAATGAAACCAGAGTTACACAGTTTTAGAGGAAAATATTGGACAGTTTCTGCTTTGGAGGTGGTTAAAAAGATTCATACAATTTATTGACCACCATTAAGAGAGCTTAAAATGTTAACCTCTAACTATGTATTTTTTTATTTTAGGAAATGTGCCAGCACATTAAAGAACATAATACTTGAAAGCTTGTTTCACATTTAATAGCAGTAATAGCTGATAGCATAAATAGATGAAAATAATATATCTGCTCATTTTGACATATGTGTCAGTCTAATCATTCTAAATGAGTGTGCTCATCACATGAATCCCTTTCAACCTCTGATTAAAATGTAACATTGACTACAGGATTATAGAGCGGACTTAATTTTACTGACTGTTTTAACAGTTGTCACAGCTGTTGGGAGAAGGAAAGGCAACTGAAACACTCCAAAACAGACAAGGCGAGGAGGGAACAGTTTAGTAAATTTCAGCCTGGTCACTGAAGTCCAGACATTGAAAATTTGAGTTTTGTGTTTTAAGATTCGTGTTTGGAGCTACACAAGTTTTATTTTGCATGCTTCACTCTCTGTTTCAGGGTTTTCATGTTTTTTCTTTTTCTCATCTCTCCTTTTTTAAATCTATACTAATTTAAAAAAATACAACAATCCCAAAGTAATTCCATAATGTCAAATTATAAGTGATAAAACAGGCAGAAAGGAAAAATTTATGCAGTAACAGTAACAACAACAACAAAAAGCCAAAATCAGAGGGGATGCCTCTTTTTTTTTTTGGGAATGATAAGAGCTTGGCCAAGTCCCTTTAGATGTGATGTTATTTGAGAACTCTGAACAGACACTTTGTTTTTTCGAGTAAGAATACTTAAACTCTAGACTTGGAGCCCACATGACTTTTCTTCATGGTTTGTTTTTTATTTTTTCCCTGCAAATCTTGAAAACACCTGCAGCCTTAAAGGTATGTGGTGTTGGTGGGGTTTTCAGATGATTTCTCTCTAAATTGCTTGAAGTGACAACCAGCTGCAATTAGTTGTGAGCATTCTTGAGCTGTAGTCTTGTAACCTTGCCCATTACATTACTAAAGTGAGCAGATTAATTCTATTTTCCTAAAAATTAAATAATCATTGTACATATTCCAAACTACATATAGTTGAAGTGGCCAGATGACGAGTATTATATAACATATGATTTTTCTTCTTGAAGTAAACAACAAAAAAACAAGTGTTCCTGAGTTAATGAAATATATGTTGAATAGGAGTGGTGGATAAATGATGGGTACCCCATCTTCCACTAGCCCTTTGTGTCAGGGTATTTATGTATTACCCTATACACATTTGGTGGTAAGTTTAAAAATCCTTTTTTATAGAAAGGACTAAAAAACAGCTTTCCATTTCCTGGGCAGAGCTATAAGGGTGATGGTGTTGGCTATTTCTTCTTATAGTGATGGTTTCTCATCTTAATGTGTTTATGGCACTGCTGCTTTATTTACTGAGCCTAGTGTGTTGCAGCGGTAATTAACCCATGTTATTAGCAAAGCCCTTGTGGATATCCATTAATTCTCTTGCATAGATGATCATTTTTCTAGTGTTTTCCCCAAATAAGGTATCATTGTTCTGTTTTTTTTTTTCCTAAATTGACGGCCTTTGATATATTTCTTTGATTTAATCTGACCTATAATATATATTGGCCATTTTATAAAGAATAGTAATTAATTCAGCTTTTAAAAATGCTAATAGAAGCAGGAGGAAAGATTTTTTTGTTGTTGTTCTTTTTAAAGTGAAAAAAGAAAAGAAAAGAAGGTTTAAAAATAATGCAGGAAATCAGTTTTAACTCTAAATTTTTCAGATTTTACAATTTATAATAATTTATTTCTTTGGGATATTTTAATCAGTTTTTTTCTTACTTAGTTAATAACACTTTAGGCATTTGCCTAAAATATTGAGCCAGCAGAAAAATACTTGTGCTTCCTGTGCTGAGAAAAGATAAGGACCATCTCATTAGCCGGGCCATACTTTTGCAATTAATTTTAGATACCTGGTGCTATTCATCAAAGAGGGCAGCTAACTTCTCTATGATTCTATTTAACAATACTTTCACAATACCTCACTCCTGTAAGAATTACAGACAAAGAAGAAACCGTTCTTTTGGAAGGTAGGCATAATGCCCAATCTCAAGTGCGTATCACTTACGAAAAATTCCTCAACATTTGTTTTAGCCCAATGACTAAACAAAATATTTCTTTGTCTTACTTGTAAAGTGATGTTAAGCACTGAAGGTTTTGCTTTATATTATTTTATAAAATAAATTATATGCTGATGAGAGATACTTTTTCATACAAATGACAATAAATAGCAATGATTTCTATTAAACCAATTAATATCAAATAAACTTTTTAGCATCACCTATCCAGCTTTTAGAAATAAGAGGAGAGGGTCTGAGGGATCTCAACAGAACTTTAGAATCATTGCAGCACTTAAGCTTTGCTCTGAATTTTGCTTCACAGCAAATTCATGGAAGAGAGAAACAATACAATGTTGATCTGTTGTAAGTGCATATGAGCTCCGGCCCTAGCCAGCTCTCTGGAGAAAAATCTTTGATTATACTGGCCCAGTTTGTTCAGTTTTTATCTCTTTTACATCCACTGGCATTGTATTAAATTGTCATTGTCCTAAAGCACAAGAGATAGAAATGAATTGCAGTTCTCTACATTCTCTGACAGTGAAATATTTAGCCTCTCTTTCTCCAATCATACTTATGTGTATATTTGATAGTGCAAGGATGACACCAAGCATCTCTGCCGCTTGACAATCTTTCCATTGCCTTTTGTATGTTTTGTCATTGATTTTTTTGATAGCCATGTATATGTGGATATACATGATCTATAATATTATGAATAAATAAATACACACATGGTCCTTTAAACTCAAAGCAGTCAATAGGATACACAGGAGTATCTTTGTGTGCATGTATAGTATGCATGTGAAATATGCATGGATATGGGAAGAGGTAATCTGTGTAGATTATACATATGCTGCTAAAAGTATTCATGTGCATTTATAT